ACATTAAGCGTAGCCCATAATAAAAGATTTAACAAAACAATTTCAACGATTTAAAAATTCCTTTTTAATTATTTATCAGCTTTTCATTTAATTCAGAATTGTATTTATTAACTGACTGTTTTCTGTTTTGTTGATGTTGTTGGGTTAGAATATCGTGCGTGCGCGTGCACGCTCAGCTCTCATGATTTGACGCAAGAAAAACTCCAAAACTGCAGTTTGTTTTATTAAAAACGTTAAAAACTTTATTTCATTTGTAGAAAAAAAACAAGAACATTTTCAGCAAATATAATAAAAACATCTCTTTATGTACAAATTTCATGTGACAAACAAACAAATAAATAAAAACAAACTAACAAACATGGTGCGCGCGCGCGTGAGGGGGGCGGCGGCTCCTTTCAGTCTGTTGTCGGAGCGGGAAACTGGATTTTCTGTTTCATCAGTTTTTACTAATTAATAACTGAAGTTCACCTGCTGGACCGGACTGAGGTCAGAGGTCAGAGGTCAGGGGTCAGAGGTCAGGGGTCAGGGGGTCTGAAGAAAACTAAATCTGAAAATAAACTTTGTCTCTAATAAAATCCTCAGATCAGATCAGTCCTGCTGGTTCCGACACCAGCTGTGCGCGCGCGTGTCCGGACAGGTCTGTGGTTCCGGACCCCTCCCTCAGTAGACCCCCGGCAGGAAGCCGCGGAACCCCAGCAGCCGCTCCGGGTGCAGGAGGTCCTCCGGCCCCCCGGGGCTGCCTGGGGAGGAGGCGCAGTGGTCCGGGGAGGAGGAGGACGAGGAGCCGCTGCAGCTCCAGGAGCAGGAGTCCGGACTGCGCGCGGGGCTGAGCAGAACCGGAGCCTGCAGGTCCGCGATCCGGATGGTCTCGGACAGGGCCCAGATGTAGTTGTGGGCGAACCGGAGGGTCTCGATCTTGGTGAGCTTGGTCTCGTCCGGGAAGGCGGGCAGGACCCCCCGCAGCGCGTCCAGCGCGTCGTTCAGGTTGTGCATCCGGTTCCGCTCGCGGTCGTTGGCCTTCAGCCGCCGGTTCTTCTTCACCACCTGCGTGCTGGCGTTGCTGCGCGCGCGCCCGCGGCGCCGCTTCTTCTTCTGAAGATGCTCGGGCGGCGAGGACGCGCGCCGCGGAGACGCGCCGCGGCAGTCCTCGTCGTCCGTGTTCGGGAACGGGTCGCAGCTGCTGCTGTCCGAGAAGACCGGGTCCATGTCGGAGCGCAGGTTCGGTTCGGTTCTGTGGACAGAAAGGAAAGGAAGGGGTGTTGAGAGGAGCGCGTGCGGGTTGGAGGTGCAGCGGAGAGGAGAGGAGCGCGTGCTCACCTGAGGTTCTGGGAGCGCGCGGGTCCACCTGGACGCGGTTCTCTTTGCTCTGGATCAGCTCGTGCGAGCCGGTGAGCCTGGCACACGACCGGCCTCAGCCCGCTTATATA